CATGGATGTGGAGGGGGAGAGTGACAGCATGGACAGCACCAGTTTGTCTTTTGGTGTGCCCAGGCCTCTGCCCTTGCTGCTGTACCAGGAGAACATGAGGGGAGTGGACCTTTGTGATCAGCTGAGGGAGTGCTATCAGGTCGGCAGGCCATGTAAGAAGTGGTGGCGCTACTTCCTTTGGTTTTACGTGAACTTGTGCATTGTAAACGCCTACATTATCCAAAGGGAGAGCCGGGGGGGAAGCCCACCGGCAGGCTTCAACGGCAAACAGTTCACTCAGCGCCATTTTCGTGTGCGTCTGGCACAGCAGCTGATTGGAGACTACCAAGGGGCAAGAGGCATGGAGCGGGCAGCACGAAAAAGACATGCAGATTCACCCATAGAATATGGACACCGTCTGGAACGCATGTCAGAGCGCTCTCGGCGCTGCAGAAACTGCACCAACAAGGGACTGCGTCATGAAAGTGTCTTCGGCTGCAAGATATGTAATGTCCATCTATGCAGGGGAGGGTGCTTCTCTGAGTTTCATAAATAAGACAAAAGTGTTTTTTAGTCCTTTGTGTGATCAAAAAAGTATGTCAAGGGATTTTTAAGAATTTAAACAGTTTGTTATTCCAAAGGTCACCACTGCAGATGCACAACATAGCCACACACTCTATGTAGAGCTAGTTTTAGGATAAAAAACTATTATTGCACGTATAACAGAAAAATTAAAGGGAAAATTAAGTATTGACTGTTTCAAAGATGTTTAGGCAACTTGCTCTCTGTAACACTGGCCCAGCTGCCCTGTGTCACTTTTTATATATGATAAAAATATATCCAGGATTTTTATATGAAATGAAAAAAACTTTTCTGCACTTAATAACTGATAATAAATGTTTATTATGGGAAGTTTATCTCTTCTCTTTTTCAAAATAAAAAAAAACTTCACTATAATAAACTTAACTGCATTGCCTCTTTTTACTGTGGATAAAATAAAAACAGTGATCCCATAATGCATCTTGTTTTTTAATGACTCGAAAATGCTCATTTAAAAACACTGCTTTAATTTAGAACCAATTGATACACCTATGCACTGAAATAATTTGATGTAACATTTGCAGTGTAAAAGGATAATACACTATTTATAACTGTATGTGTAGAGTTTGCAGTAATTCCAAAAAGAGGATACTTATACAGAGTTGCTCCTGTGTCATTTATAATAGAACACAGGAAGGAATGACAGCATACTAATTTGCATTGTTCTTTGTTTTACAATTTTAATGGTCCTAAAAGTTTTCATTCATTTCACTTCACTTTCTCAGTCAGGGTTTTGACATATTACCACAGGAAATGGCCCAGTAGGTGGCACTAATGCACCTTCTGTGTCAATGAACAAATCATGTTTTAACAGCTGCACAGATCAGTAGCTGCTAACAGAACAGTTTTCTGGAAAAAAATGCATTTTAAAGCAGCCCCTGCAGGCGATAGTGTGCAACTACATGCCACTGGACTGGCAACAATAAGCAATAATAATTTCACGCTTTTCCTTAGTGTATGAAACAGGTAATACCTATTGAGTCCTAAACTAAAACAAACATTTTAAATCTTTGACCCACATAAAATACCTCTATGACAAACCTTCTCAGCCTTGACCCATCCTTTGAGAAGCAATAAAATAAATAACATGACCACATTAAATATGGAAAGTGAAGTAGTTATAATGAAGACGGATCATATAATGGATTTTAAAGGGCTGAAGCTTCAGTTGCCTGTGTTCCTCCACACACTTGAAAATCTGTCTGTGGGTCTTCAAAGGGACACAGCTTGGAGCAATTAGTGAGCAGAAAAAGCCCCTGAGTCCTCAGCAGCCAATGGACTTACTGATGCCATTACTCTCTTCAACCACACTACAGACACAGAGCCATCTGTGGCCCTTTTACACCGGGTCCAAACTCCAAAATGCAGAACTTGTTACTGGCGTGTTTACAAGGCTGGAAGAAAGACAACAGACACTCTTTAAGGCCAAGAATCTAAGTACCTGACAGAGTGAGAATGTTTTTGTTAGGTTGTACTGTGAAGCAGAGCTATCCCAAGAAGAATCAAGTTCTGAAATGGCTGTGGCTGCACTGCAGTGTATTTTCAGAAGAAGGTTTCTATTCACTTTTCCAGCTGGAAAGCCGAAGGCTGTAAGTAGGCAGAGAGAATCTACTTCAGCCTGTCAGACCAGTCGTCTCTTGTGTCTTTTTCTGATGTCTCCTCTCTCCTTCCTACTTCCTCTCTCTCCCTTTTACTCTCAGGCTTCCTTCCTTTTCAGGATCTGACACTATCCTACCCATCCTCACACACACACACACACACACACACACATCCACACACACACACACATGCATGTGAACCTTCTTTCATACTGTTGCCTCACACTCCCTTCCCTGTTCCCCAGCTGGGAGAGAGTTAGTCAACTGGACGCCCATCCCGCTGATCTGCGGGAGCCCCATGGGGGGTTACCATGGTAACCGTGGCCGATGAAGACAGGGAGTCGCCAGCAGGCCTGCACGGTTGTCATGGTGTTGGCTCTGTCTAAATGAGGTAAAGGGGCTGCGACACTCCCCTCTTCTCCAAAAACCAGGCAGAAGTGTGTATGTGTGTGTGTGTACTTGTGTGTAGGTCACTGACTGTTAACCGCCAGCCTGCACACTGTACACAGAGCCAGACTAGTTACCAGGCAGGTTCTACAAAGAACAACCAAGACTGTGGTGGCAGCTAGATCAAAGGGCAGCTGCAGACACAAGTCCTACATCTTCACTGAGTGATTAGACCAGGATCAGGGTTTTTTTATTATTCATTTAACAGGAGGCCCTGCTTTGGCAAGTTTGTACAATCAAGTTTGAAGCTGCCACTTCACTGCACTGCAGAAAACTGAAAAACATTTACATTCAGGATTCCTAACTTGGCCATATCATGCTAGATTTTTTTTTTTTTTTTTGGCCTGAGTTCATGTCACTCAAGGCACAAAATTCTATTTATACAAAGTAACATTGTGTTATTATCAGAGGACGTTATAAAGTTATTAACTTAAAATAAGAATATAGGCCATACACATGAGTTGAGTGCTCAGATACAACATTATAGTTTAGAATGTAAACTCCACTAAAAAAATATCCACTGCAAAAATGCCCCTCATGACAGTGATTGATTGCTCTGAGCCAGCAATCAATCACTGCAGCTCTACAGACACTGCCATTCTCTGGGTCCCGGCACATATTGGAACCCCTGGCCACCAGGTCTGTATAACTTAATCCCTAAATCACCAACTTGATTCCTTTGATTCTTACTTGACAGGTCCTGTTTCGTGTTGTAAAAGTTTTTTTATTATTATTGTGACCTCAATTCTGGCCCACATGTACAGTGTTGTTAGGTCTTGGTTTCTCCTGCAGGTCTGGCAGGTTTTATTCACTCCCTTTTTTGTTCTTCTTTAGTTTTTAGGGTATTTAAGGGTGCTACCTCAATGAGTCTCAATGCTAAACACATGATTTATTGAGTGCAAAAAAGTTTTGACTGAAATACATTGTTAGACTTAACTAAAACAGTTAAGGTTTTGTTTCATTGCACAACTAACAGAACACTACATTTAAAATACATCGAATACTGTATTTCCAACTGCAGGGGTGGTTGAGGGAGTGACATCTCATTTGTTTATAAACATGTCCTCCAATAATCATAAAGCAAGTTTTCATATCATTCTGCTGAGACATTCATTTTAATTTGACAACCTGTGCTAAGTTGATATTTATAGCCAACTGTCAAATTTAATTCAGTTACATACAATTACTTGGCTTCATTTCAAAATTCATTTGTTGTTCTCTACAACTGGTTTGAAATACGACTTTAATTTTTGGTTCCCACAACAGCAGCATTTGACAAGTACGTCACAACAGTGAGTCTGAGCCTTTGTTGGTCACTTTTGTGTTTGTATTATTAAAGTGGAGAGAGCATTGGTGGTTTTCTTTCTGTTGTGTTGGATAAATATGAAACAATCATGCCCGATTTGATTTGCTCTGAGTCAGAACAAAACAGTCTCTTTTTCTATGGCTCTCTCTCTGGATTTCGCTCTCTGTCACATGTCCTGTCACAAAGGCCAGACCTAATGTTTCCATGATGGCTGTAAACCATTAGATGTTTAGTTCTCAACATGTTTCTCCTCCTGGGCAGGGAAACGTCTTAGAGTCTCTGTCAGGAACATGGGAATGATTTCACTTAATGGACCACTGGTTTGGGCAACACATGTACTGTTAGCATCATGAATGTGCCTTTGTTCAAGTCTCTCTGTTGTAAAACCAGTCAGGGACAAAGGATTCAGCGTCAGAAACTACTAACATCTTATTCCCAGATCTAACTGGTTTAGTATCTGTTTACCTTTCTGTACCTTGAAGCGTTGTTGTAAGAGTAATCGATTACTCATTCTTAATGCATGCATAACACAATTAGAACCTAAACTTTATCTTAATTGGATATGGGGGGGTTGGTTTTTTTAAAAAAAATTAAATCCTCTAACATTTTTTGAAAACCATAGTGGCATTATATGTTTCTCAGTCACATGATTTTAAGGTTGTTTACTACAGGACCATTAATCATGATTTTTCTTGTAAGCCATCTTAAAGTTTTAAAACTTTTTAAACCAAGCTCAAAGCATACATATATGATTCACTGTAAACAAACTCATTATGTGGTGGCGTATGTAGTACGTAGGTATGTGATAATCGAACACAATCAATACTGTTTTTAAAGTTTATTTCTATGTTTATTTTTTAAGGAAACTAGAAGTGGCAGAGAAGTACACAAATGTGGTGCAAGATAGATAGATAGATAGTTAGATAGTTAGATAGATAGATAGATAGATAGATAGATAGATAGATAGATAGATAGATAGAGAGAGAGATAGATAGATAGATAGATAGATAGATAGATAGATAGATAGATAGATAGATAGATAGATAGATAGATAGATAGATAGATAGATAAGAAGAACACACTATATTTTAATTTGGGTAATAATAATTACAATGACATTATCACTTGGACACACAGGAGGTGTGTTTGGTGTAGTAGTAGTAGTAGTAGTAGTAGAAGAAGAAGAAGAAGAAGAAGAAGAAGAAGAAGAAGAAGCAGAGAAGAAACAAGAAAAAACATTTGCTTACAATATTATTTCAAATTCATCTTTGATTCACTGAAACAAATCTCCTGTACTTGTTGTACTATTTTAGGACATACCCCCATCTAGTGGCCAGAAGTAAAAAATATCCAACAAAATGTAAGGAGTTTAAGGTTTGAATATAAACCCATAAAGGAGATCCACCACAACAAACGGAGCTCTTCGACCATTTCTTCTAAACATGCATTTCGGTTCTAAGTGGTTCATTTAAGTCCAGCACATGCACCGCCCCGTATTGATTGCGTGCATCCTTTCAACTGGGAAGCTTTCTGAACCAGATGGATCTCTTTGGTTTCTGCTGATGTGGCTTTGGTGAACCCAGCATAACGACCATGGGAAGTTTAATCTCTGCTTGTGGGACATCGAGTGAGACCTGAAACCAGAGGAGCACCACTGTCAGTGCTGTTTGTCATCTTATCTATGTATACACGTTCTTCGGAGTTATGTTATGTAATGCTACAGATTAAAATATTACCAATGAATCAGCAATTGTACCTGAAATGTTGATGTTTGTGAGGAAATGATCAGTCTTTTTCACCAGATCAGTGCTCAAATGCATTGTTTCACAAACCGTTTTGTATTTGTATTGTACACATGTACGCATATAAATTCATAACAAGTCACTGTTTATAGGAGAACAATGTCCTTTCATGTTAGTGCAAAGAATATTCTGGAGTACAATATCCTCAGAACACAGAACACAGTGAGAGCGCTCCCGTCTTGCTGCTACACAATAAAATAACTAGGCAGTAAACCAATTTACAAACGAATTCAAGATAAAAGATTATAATCCGCTTGCATTTTATACACAGATGAAAATGCGTTGATCAAATAAGGGATCTCTTGAAGACTCAAATTAACATGAGAAATTTCCACTTTTGTTAATAATAATCTTTCAGTAAACAATTTATGTTTAAAATAGACCTAATGATTCTTCTTTATTTTTTATATTGAAATCTGAATTAAACTCCTAATAAAATAAACTGAGAAGACTAAAGTAGCAGGCTTCTGGTAATGTAATACCCAGTGTACCACTAGGGACTGCGTACCACAGTTTTGGAAAGAACACACTGTTAACTAAACACATCACATTTTTTAGGAATTGTCTTCAGCAGGCCACTTATTAGCTGACAATCAACTTTTATTTATTAGATGTAAAAGTCAATTCTTTACTTTAAAACACTAGGTTTTCTTTATGTCCCCACCTCACCTGTTTTCTTTAACTATGTAGCCACTATGGGGTGCTAATATCCAAAATCTCAATACAAACTGAATGCGACATGTTAGCTTTTCACAGAAATATTACTAAAAAGTGCATTCTTTTATAGAGGAACAGGCAGAGCTTGTGATTAAGTCTGTGAATTTACTCCAAACTTCACACCTCACAAAGACTCCAAAAATTACTGCACTTGCAAAACAGCAACATGTTTTGTTTTCAATGACTATTTGTTGTTTGTCTGTTGCAGCCATTTATTGATTTATTTTGTTTATGTATTGTTTTTTGGGGAAAAACACTAGTTTGTCTGGAAAGGGTGTGTTTAATCAAAGTATTCTGTCTCGGTACCTTGATCCTATACTCCAGTCTCATCATGCTGCAGTTGAAGAAGGTTGGAGGTGTTTGTGGAGGAATGCTCAAAACTCTGGTTACAGTCTGCCTGCTCTCAGCTGGAACACAGTCTCCAGACCCAAACAGGACATCATTTGTGTGCACCACCCTTTTGGAATCAGCCACAAAAGTCTGCGTCTCACTCAGATAGAATTTGGGAGTCACTGTACGTGTTGAGTCATTGAGGATTTCTACAGAGACCGCCATGGCCTCACCTATTTACATTTTAGACAAGAAGTAAAGTAATCAGATAGAGCCAATCAGCATACCTCTGATTAGTTCAATATCAGTGATACTGCAGCCTTTTTTTTTCAACCTTGCTTTACTCCCATTGTTTCCGAAGTAACACTGAAAGTAACTTTTCCAGAGCCAAGGAATGAAATCCTGGTTGCACTTTGTTGCTCCTTTAAAAGTCGAGACTGTGATTAGTAAGAGCTCAAAACATTAGCCTGACTTTGCAATTAAGACCGTATGTTCTAAACAAAGACAAAGCATATACTGTAGATAAACACCAAACTAACAATCAGCAGAAAAAAGTTCCCTACCTGAAGTCCAATGATAATCATTTCAGATTTGGAGGCAAATGGGAACTCAGCCTTGGTCAGGAATGGAAATTCAATTTTTGTTTTGTGGACGAGCCAAATGGACAAAGTTAGCTTTGCACGCAATGTATAAATAATTTTCCCCCATTTCCCTTTGAAAGATGAAGGCATGTCCCTGTAAAGAAAGATAATTAAAAAGATCATTAAAAATTAGTGTATTTTTAGAGATATACGTAGATACTGTATATTTATTACTATAGAATCTACGGTCGCTCACGTACGTGTTTGGAATCTCAAAGGTAAATGGAAACAGATTCCGTCCAGATCTAATAATTTCAGAACCTTATAGAGAAAAACAACAACATCTATTGCATGTTAAGAATAAATTCATATTTTCTAAAACATTCAGCAATGTAAAAGATTTCTTACCATCTCCTTTATTTTTATCCTGGAGTATAATATGTTTAAAGTAAAAGTATCTCTTCTTGTCGTTGTGGACCACGGTGTTTTGTCCTTCTTGTTCAGACCATGTGACCTCAGCTTTACCTTTGGCTCTGACCACAAAACATTGCACCTTTGTTTCCTTGTTGGTCACCACAATTACCTTCCCAGAGACGGTGTCCCCCGGAGAGAAGGTGCCACGCTCATTTACTTTGTTGTATTCCAAGGAGAGATACTTCACAGTCATAATCAGACCAAACTAAATTATTATCTCAAATATGCAGGAGAGCCTTTGTTGTTTTTGTTTTTATTTTTGTTTAAGCGTGCATGGAAGCATTAGCAATGGTTCTGGAGCAGGGCTGTGGGTCAGTGTCTTCAGTAGATGTCGATGCTCTCTAATGCGCAGTCTGTATCGGTGTCATGCAAGATCATGTGACCAAGAAGGTGCAGGTGTCACTTTCACACAGGTAATTCTATCCAGCAGCCTTCTGGTCTTAACTAGGATAAATTACTGTAAGTGTGTACATTAGTCTGTATACTTTGCATCTTCATGATACTCCTCTGTGGAGACCAATTTATTACTGAGGAATACGTTGCTGTAATATTACATCTATAGTAAGTAAGAAGCAATATAATATGGTAAAATTAGAAAGAAAAAATTCTTAGTCATAGGGTGGAGTAACAACTTTTTAAAAATAAAACAGTGTCTAAACAGCAAAGTGCTTTTACCTTGAAAGACAAAATTTATGTTAAAGGTATTGCAGTATATGCTCTGATGGTGTGAGGTTACAGCATCAGCATTTGTCAGAGACAAGTGAAGCCTTAAATGCAGGAGGACGCAGGTGAAGTAGACCACAACAACATAAAAACATTTTACAGCGGTTTAAGAGACATTGAGTAAAACGAAAGAAAAAATTGCAAAATTAAAAATGCATTTATTAGTATACTTTTATTATAATCTGAGTTTTTGGGTGGACAGAGGAGGTAGAACCCTAAGAAGAATTGGTGTGGGCCTGGTACAGTTCACCAATCCATCACAGAGCCACAGACTGTACAGAGACAACCATCCAGAGTATCCACATAATCTAAACCTGCATTTTTTTTTTAAAAAAGCAACAATTATTATTGTTTTAATTATATTTGGAATTTACCCCAGAATTTTGCAAACAAAACAATGGTGGTTGATCAACTTTTCCCCACTAAGCCCATATCTCTTTAAATGAACAAAAATAATTGGTAATTAATTAAATAAGTGGGATGAACACACAAAAACAAGTAACACATACCTTTTTAGTTGTGCACTGTAAATACAAGACAGGCAGGCTTAGCTATAGTAGCACTGAGCTGCGGCTGGACTGTAGTGTTGTACACCTACAAAAAAATTTCAAACAGTTTTGAGCACCACTCCTACAGGATCTATCAGATCCACACCTAAACACTTCCTTTTAGACTCTGATTAAAAACAGGATTTAAAAAAACGTCTTTTATAACAACTGAGGTGACAGAGCATGTGAGTCTCTCTGCTCTCCAAACATATGAGAACAAATAAATGAGAATGTGGAAGAGAATGACGCACGAGAACCAGTGTATCTCTCTTTCCTTTATTATTATCACTAGATTTACATTAAACTGCTATGTTTGTCAGGATAAGTACTGGAGGAGGCCATGGCATATGAATAGGAAGGTGGGGGATCCAGAGGTTGTGGCATGTTGTTCCAGGCCTGTGTGCTTGGATTTGGAAAATCTTCAAATGCAGTGTTTGTACTGAGAGATTGCATCTGTGCTTCAGAAAAATGAGACAGGATTATTATGGGGAGTTTGATGTGTGGGTCTGAAGCACATTTGATATCCAGGTAGACCTGTGAAAAAAGCAGTGGTTGAGTTTTTTGTTTTCTAAAATATCTTGATAAATGTTGTAGAATCAGTGAGGGTACATGGAGGAGAACATTACATAATAGATTCGAGCCATGTACTTCACCTTCAGTCTGTACTCCAGCTTGATGATAGAGCAGTTCAGGATGGATGGAGGCAGTTCCCTCGGGATGGGGATCACCTTTGTAAGAACCTTTTTTTCAGCAGGTGCCACAGCTTCTGACTTCTCCTTGAGGATCTCGGTGGTGTAGAGCTTCCTGTGACCTTGGGCAAAGAAACTTTGCTTCTCATAGAGTATGAACTTGGGTTTTACATCACGACTTGAGTTGTTGACAATTTCCACTGTGGCTTTGACAGAGCCACCTGTGACATTGACAAAAAAAATAAATGGAAAAAAATAAGATTTCTATCTTCACGTCGTAGTAGAAGAAGTTTGTCATTTTATATTTATAAAAAATCATAACATTTTTAAGTTCTTCTCGAGGTGGGATTCAATTGCCAATCCTCTAATACAAACTCCATGCTTGAACAACTAGGACTTGACTTCAAATCTCTCTCTGCTGTTAGGGCAGATTTTTTTAATTGAATACATGTGTTATAAAACTGTGAATTTTATGCCATTTCACAAATATACTGTAATAATACCTTGCTTGTATCCCATGCGTTTGGTGTGTACATCCATTGTAATTGTTCCAGAGCCAAAAAATGACAGAGATTTATCTTTACATCCATACTGGGGTTCCTAACAAACACACATGTTCTCTACTTAGAATTTCAAATACACAAATAATTGATTTTCAACTTTGTTTTTAAAATGAAATATTTCTTACCATGAGACCAGGGTACTCCATGTCATTTTTGGAGACAAATGTGAAGTGAGCTTTGGTCTTTTTGGTTAACTTCATTGACTGTTTGAGCTCTGCCCTCAATTTGTGAACAATTCTGCCCGTGCTGTGCTTGAATGTTGAAGGCATTTTTCTGTAAAAAAAAACCAAACAAATAAAGATTTGATTATATATAAGAGAAAAGCAAAACATTTAATAAATATATTAAGTTAAAATGGAGGGTTGGGAGGGGCACCTGTCAGGAATCTTGAAGGAAAAAGGAAACACGTGTCTTCCTTTAGAAAGTACGGCAGTACCTTGGTAAAACAAGAAAAACATGTATAGTTACTCACAATGTGATAAACAGAACGCAGGACAATCATCGTGTTAAAATGTTACCATCTTGACTTGTCTCTCTCAGGATAGGTTGCTTGACATCATAATATTTCTCATTAGCCCAGTAAACACGGTGTTGGTGTTGTCCATAATATTCATGCCAAACAACCCGCGCTTTTCCTTTTCCCACAAAAATAAGAGACTGGATTTTGGTTTCCATGGAAACCTGCAGGATGATTCGGCCACTAATCGTGTCTCCATTGGTGAAAGTGTTCCTGCTGTTGATGGCATCATATTCAATAGAGAAGCTTTCAATGGTCATGGCTCCTCAGAGCAACACCAGTTGGAAAGTCCAAGAGCAGAAACTGGCTGCAGGTGTTTTTATGTGATGACAGGCACACCAAGGTCCCACAACCTGTTCTACCTGTCTGTGCTGACACACAGACTCAGTCAGGGATGTGACTAAAGAATTTAATCACATGGTTTAAGACATATTTGTCAATATCCTGGAAAAATAATGTTGTTGAGTCATTCCTAGTGGTGATCACTGGTAGCATGTGATCGCCACAGCTCTCAGGGACATTATCTGTAACTCTCAGGTCAGATTTTTCTATAGAGTTTCAACATTATTCATATTTGAAAAAGAGACATTTTATACTCTGATGAGTACAGGTGTCTTAAGATAAATGTCTACAATTCAGGTTAAATTATTTTACATTTCAAAGTGTGTTGGCAGAAAAGAAATAAGTTTAGAGATGCTTTTTTAACCACATACTGTGTACTGGATGTTGTCCTTTCACAAACACAGTAGATAAACCTTAAGAAGACTGTTGTGTGCGGGCAACGCAGGAAGCAGGCAGGACCCAAATGCAGTACTGGAGAGACTCTTTCTGGTGCAGGAAGTTTTATTTACAAAGTCCAAATTAACAAAACACGTAGAACTAACAGGCATGGAATTCTCTTTGGAACACGAGGAAACACAGAGTAGGAAACTCACGAACACGAAGATCTAACACAATCACAATGATCAAACACAATGATCCAACCACGACAGAGTGAGGGAGAGGGGTATATATACACAGGGAGCACCAGGTGACACAAGTGAAGCTAATTACCAACAGGTGAGTGTGATCCCACAGATAACCCCACACAGCAGGAAAAGGAAACAGACAGACATGACAACTACGAACAGAACATAATTACAGGATGCTTATGTAATCTCACTATAATCCAAAGAGTATATATGAAAATGTATTGCATTATAGGCCAACTGGGAACTACTGTAATTATTAGTCAGAAGGAGATGAACTAAAGCAACCCACTAAGAACATGGTGATCTGCACTATGGCTACTATGACTCCATGTAATGTTTTCCTGATCACTACATTTATATGTGTAAAGGATAAATAAATAACAATAGCAAAGTAAACACTTGATTTAGTTTTATAAACACAGGAGGAAATTGGCAAAAATGGTTATCACAATTATTAAAATTCTTAATAATATTCATACTGTAAATGTAAATGCTATCCCCATTATATAGAAGCAAATGTTATGGACCATAGTGATAATTTATATTTTATGATAAAAAAGACTATTTAATAAATTATTTAATACAGTAACATGTTAAAAAAGTGGAATAACTTTGTTGTTGTTCTTTCATGTACGTGTTGAGAGGACAAGAACAGCAATGAAAAGTAAAGGCATCCACTCTTTATAAAAGACATCAATATGTGTCTTTTTAAAACGCTCTTGTTTAACATGACTTCTTCTCCGTCCTGTCATTGTTGTTGCCATTGAGGTGGAGCCTCATAATGTGGAGGTGCAGAAGGAAGTGCACAGGTCCAGGATGGAGGGCCATTGTCCATGGAAGCAGCAGCAGGATGGTGATTGGAAATTTTATTTCTGGGTCTCTAGAACATTTGACATCAAGGTAAACCTGTGAGGGAAAGATCAGTGAAGAAAAACTCTATGATGATGGACTTTTTTTTATTTACACATTTTCAGATTGGGTTCCAAGTAGACTACCACTATGGTGACACCTCACACACACACACACACATACACACAGGTGCAATGATAATGTGCCTGAAAAGTTTTGGTGCTGGACACTGGAAAATGTGCAACACTGATTTTCTCACACAATCAAAACATGTAAATAAACATTTCCTTCGGGTGCTTTGGGTTCCGTGGGTGCAAGGCCAAAAAAGTTTGGAAACCGTTACAACATTGGCTATGTAAGAATAACAAGTTAAAGAAGGAGCCCTGCTCACCCTGAGCCTGTGCTCCACAGTGATGATCCAACAGGGCTCCACATCAGGGGGAATAGGTATAATATATCTGACTGGGATGAGTTCTCCCACTTCTCAGAAGAGAAAAAGAAGATAATTTGTGTGCACTTTTTCCTCCCCTTTTGCAGAGAAGCTGTGCCTCCTGTACAAGCATTATGCACTCCTCTGTTCACTCTACTCTCCTTGGTCCCGACTCCTACTAATATAAGGAGAGGCTTGATTACTACAGTTGAGCTCACCTGCGTCCGGGGCTGCACCTATGTCGCCACTCCCGTGCTCTCCCTCCTGCAACCTGCGCCAGGCCCCCACAATGTGCATGTACATTGAATTTTAATTTATAGTTGAAATTTTATTCTACAATTTTGTAGATGTTTTGTAAAAAAAAATTAGATTACATTATTTTTCATGGTTATGTTTTTCATTGATTTACGTAATGTATGTCTTATATTTCCATTATACAGTGCTACTGTGCATATAATTGTGTGGGAAAGGGTAATAGAGTCTAGGCAGGGTTGATAACAGTGTGGGGGAGGTTCCTAAAGGGTAAATATATACGTAAATAATATAAAAACTATTTCGCATCTGCTTCCTTTTTTGCAGTGGGTCTTGGAACACAACTACCGCAATAGGAGAAGGACCACTGTATACCACTTATGACATTCCACAGATAAGTGGTAGGATTTATGGACTGTGGAAAAGTCCCCATTACACAAGAAAGTGTAGACCAGGAGTGTCTACACCTGTTTGGGTTGGGAGCTACTATTCAAATGACCAGACTAAAGTGATCCACTTACATTAACCCCAGAACACTAATGTTAAAATTAGTAACACCATCACTAATGTTTACCCAAAATAATATCCCAAATAAAATACAGTTTTCATAAATTTTTATGTAAAAGTACAACACTATATGCCAAATTCTAGTGCTCCCAATATACAATATCTCATAAAATAAAAAAAGGTACCATGGGGGACCCTTTTTAAAGGCAGCAAAATTATTGAAAAATCAGGTAATCCTTAATGAGAAATTTCCAAACAAAGAAATAATGGAGCTGGGAACGTGTTCTTTGGTCCACCCATTCCTGTGAATGTGAGCCTTGTCTGGTGAAGGCACAATCTTCCTGCATCACAAATTCCAATAGTAAAATATGTTACTCTCTATCACTAACATCAGGTGGGAATCACCGAAACGCATGCCTCTTGAAAAAACCATAAATGGGAGGATGGAAACAAACATACCATTAATGACATCAGTGAGCAGCCTGGAGCTACCCAAGGAACCATGCAACTCAGGCAACAGCAACAAAAATCAAATGACAAGAACTGTGTGGGTTAAAAAAAATCAACCGACGTTAGTGTTCTAGGGTTAAAAATGTTAAATGTATATTGTAACTGTTACAGTACTTACTCATTTTGTAGAATAGGTAAAATATTACTGACAAAGTTTACTTCATTATCAGCAGGAGATCACATTTGCAGGAACGTAAGAGGTAAAACTCATATGATTTTTGAGCCTTGTTGCATGTGATTGTTGCATGTGATTGTTTTCCATTTTCTTTGATGAAACAGAGTTAAGGCAAGCGAATCTTACATAGAGAAAATTGATTTTGTGTTTGAGTAATGGAAAGTCAGGAGACAATGTGAAGTCACAATCAGCATGACTCATATTCATGTAATTTTCCAATGGAAAAAAACCATTGGAAACATGAGACTGGGATCTTGTAATGACTGAACAGCCTTGATCAAAGGTTAATGACTTTATTCAAGATAAATGTTGAAAAGGTGTGTAGGTCAGTGCATGGATATATGCATGTACTGTATGTAGAATTGTAAGTTATAAAATAAATACTGGAAACTCTGGAAAAATTTAACAAAAATAACATTTTACTTAGTATTATTATTATTATCCATCCATCCATCCATCATCGTCTCCGGCCGCTTGTATCCCAAAATTTATTATTATTATTATTATTATTATTATTATTATTATTATTATTATTATTATTATTATTATATAATTAACCCTTTATTAACCTTATAAATAAAGTCTAATCATTTCAAAATTGGCCATTCGGATAACAATTTAAGTTAATAAGGAAACAGATGCTCACGTGTAGGGCCCGATGTCTTTGACAGAGCTAGGTGCTGAGTACCTAGTTAGTCCAATCAAACCCATTCAAAATGGGGTACATGTTATATGTACCATATGGTGGTGGTGGGCCATATGGGCCTGGGGCTGCAGGTTTTGGTGGGAAGCTGGTTGCTCCTGGCACATCAACATTTCCAAAAACATTAAATCCATAAGCAGCATATGCAGAGGGCTGTTCTTCATCACATGCCTCCAGAGTAGGCAGGATGATGATGGGGAATTTGATCACTGGGTCTGAAGCATACTTGACATCCAAATATATCTGTAACAGAGAAGTTCTCATCAGTCATCATGTAATTTAGAGCACGAGCTCTCTGCTACACAAGGGCTCACGGGAATATTTGGTAAAGACGATACAGTACACACCCTGAGCCTGTATTCGACTTTGATGATGTTGCAGTTTAAAACGGACACTTGCATGGAAGGAGGAATTGTTATGATCCTGGTGACAGTCTGACCCGCAGAGGGTGGAACATCTTCCCCAACTTCTTTAAGAATGTCTTTGGTTTGGACTTTTCTTTTCCTTTTTGCGAAGTAGCTGTACTTACTGTACAAACAGTACTTAGGTCGAATAGCACGAGAGCATTTGTTTTGAATGGAGGTGACAACTGTTATGCCCTCACCTAGAAAAGTAGAACAGCAGTAACAGAGAAATGTGCAAGAAGCATAGATTAGCCGTATTAGTGTATTAGTGTCAAAGTGACACTAATCAAACAATAAAGCAAAATATTGTGCAACCTTGGGCCGGTGGACTTTCACATGTAGTTTATTATTTTACTGCCTTCCAGTGATTAGAGAAACCTTGTGGATTTACCTTGTTTGTAGCCTATTTGTGGAATATTGACATCCATTCCCACGGTTCCCGATGTAAAAAGTTTCATTTTCTTGTCAACAATACAGTTCTGTGGAGTCTGTTGGAAAAAACAGGTTGAGGTTGAGTTTGTTTTTGGGATCAAATGTCAAAGTTGAGTTTCTGTTAGAGCCTGTACCATCAATGACGGATCAGTGTTTGGGTTTCCTCTGTGGAGAACAGTGAACTCTGCCTTATCTTTACTGTCCAGTCTCATGGGTCTGCTCAGAACTGCTGTCACTGTGTACCGGATCTTTCCGTGAGCGCCTCTAAAAGAGGACGGCAGTTCTCTGCAAAACATTTAACATCAGTTACTTTATTTTCTATAACTTTTACTCTAATGGTGTATTTTTTAATAGAAGAAAACTTACTGTTCTGGTATCTGGAAAGTGAATGGATAGACATGGCTGCCCTGTTGAACCATGTTATTCCCTAAAAAATAGACAAAATATGATTTAATCTTAGTGGTGTTTTTTTGGGGTTGGGGGTTGGGGGGTGATACCACTATTGAATTTCAATCTTGGCTGGAACTCATTGATTTTGAGGTTAAACAACTTAGTGTATTTTTTATTAAAACTGTTTCTCTGAAACCAGATTAGAGCAACATGGAGTTGCTCACACACTAGAAGTTTACTGGATATGCAGTACTAAATACTAAATATTCTTCTTCTTCTTTCGGCTTTGTCCCTTTTTTCAGGGGTTGCCACAGCGAATCATTGATTTCCATCTCTCCCTGTTCTCTGTATCTTCTACTCTGACTCCAACTATCTGCATGTCCTCCCTCACTGCATCCATATATCTCCTCTTTGGTCTTCCTCTTAGTCTCCTACCTGGTAGCTCCATCTCTAACATTCTTCTACCAATGTATCCACTGTCCCTCCTCTGCACATGTCCAAACCATCTCAATCTGGCTTCTCTAGCTTTTTCTCCAAACCTTCCTGTCTGAATAAATACTAAATAAACTAAAAACTAAATATAATTAGTCTAAAATGAACTTGAATTTAACATTTACCTCTCTGCTGAAGCATCATACAACACAATTATAAACAGAATAAGCCCAGTATTGTACTGACCTTGTTCTTCTGGAATAATAAACTGCGTGACACTGAAGTACTTTTGCTTGTCATAGTAAGTCACTGAAGTACTTCCAGAATGCTCGGTCCACTGCACTTCTGCTTTTCCCTTCATCTTGATGCTCAGTGAGTTTATTTTAGAGTCACCATCCAGTTGTAAACTGATTTGTCCTGTGAGCTGATCACCACTGGTGAAATATCCACTCTTGTTGACAGGATTAATTGCCACAGAGACAATCTTGATGTTGCCAGACATGGTGCTGTAGTGGTGTGACTATTAAGGCTGCTGTAATACGGTACAAGAGTGTGAGTAGGTCTGTGCCTGAAGATAAATACTTGAGACTTAAGACCATGATAATAATTAAACCAAAGGACTAAAGTACAAACTGTAGTAAAACTACACTTGGCCAAAGAAAAGAACACAGATGAGATTAGATTGAACTTTAGTAGTCTCATACCAGGGAGATTGTTGAAATGATGGGGAATTGTATTAAGATTACAAAGAGAAATATTTATTTGATAAATTGTACTGAAACAAAAACAAAAATATTTTTGCCGACAGCAACACATTATAATGGTGTTGACTCTTCCTGTTGAAACAGGGATTCATGAGTGAGTATAATTTCTGGGCGGGGTGATTGGTCATGGTCCCTACATTAAATATTAATAACATACTTTGGTTGGAGATCTGAGGACTAAGTACAGATGTTTCCCAAGTGTTGTTACACAGTGAAACAAATGTAGCGTTACAAGAATTAAAAGAGAGCAGTGAAGGACCAGAGCAGTTGGAGTGGCATGCACGTCTTTGTATTTGCAACAAACACAGTTGTTTATATTTTATACAGTACACAGTTGTAGCAACCAATGATTTTACACATTTGTCACCAGGGTGAGTGACATCAGAGAGAGAGGAAAAAAACACAAAGTCATTTAGAAAGTAAATGAAAAGGTAATAATAGTTAAAACCTTTATTTGTGGTGGACTGACAGAGAAAGAGAGGCTGCTGAGGTAATGATGAGCCACACAATTATCAATAACCAGTTTGGTCAATTAAAGGCACTGAGGTTCAGGACAAGACGCAGTGAAGCCATAGACGATAGGAGACAAATGGACATAGTTACATAATGAAGTTTTCTTATTTTATCGGACCCTCAAAAACAAAACAAAAAAAGAAACTACAACGAGTATTTTCACAGTGACATTAAACAAAACAGTGAGTTTTTAACAATGTGTATGGAGATGAATGACAACATGAGAAAAACATAATTGCATATTTTTTCACAGGATAGCAGCACTGTTAAAACACTAGTTACTGTAGAGTGTTAGTAGTAATATAAAAATAAACATTTTGACATAATATAGGGAGAAGTCAATTTTTTTTTTTTCGCACCAACTGAAAGAACTTGTTGATACTGTCTTGTCTTTCAGTGGAGATGAGAAAATATTTGTAGGTTAAAAAAACGCAACGATTTAATCATTATAAATCAGAGGTGCCCAATAAGTAGACTCATTTTGACATACTGTAGCTTCATATATTTAATTAGTACCCCAACATACTATGTAAGGTACATTTAAAGTATGTTCAGTTTATATGAGTAACTATTATATTATTATAAATTATTAAAACATAAAAATGTAACTTCCTTTTCTAAAAAAACACAGCTGCAGTGTAACAGTTGAATTACTGTCTGTAAAATCTGAATCTCTGAAATCTCTGAAAATAACAATTCACAGAGCTTTAGTCACAAATTGTAAAACACAGTACAATATTTTGACTAATGGCATTATTAAAGACTGATGTAGGTTGACAAATATGGCAGTTTACACAGAAGTGAAACAATTCTTAACATAAAAATAACAAACGTAAAGATTAACATTTCTTAACATAAAAATTAATGTAATCAAATCAAATATAAATGCAAAGCTAATCGCCAACGTCAGGAAATTAACATTTTCTCTTTTTGCTAGAGAAAAACACAAGTTACCCACAGGGTCCAGCATGTTAACATTCATAAGCCTGTTTTGTTTCTGAACAGGTGCCAACACAAACGTCTGCCTTCTACCATAGAGCAGTGCTTGCTATTATATTTGATTTGATTGCATTCACTTTTAACCTAAGACGCACAAGAAATATTTCCATGGCTACTGTGTTGGGGGGAGGGGTAGTGTTGTTAAAAATACACCTTATTTGTTTGAATGAAAGTATAAATGGGTATGAATACCTTCATTTGGGTATTTTGCAGAGTGTGCATAATATAAGCCACAACTTTCTTTGTAGTTACTTGGTACTGTTTGAGCTGCCTCAGTGAAACTGTGATACTGGCAGAGATTAAATTATTTGCCGAGACCAATACTTTAAAAGAAAAATCAATCAATGTTCAAGCTCAATTTAAACTGGACATTTTTAGTATGAAATATATTCATCTGGAAATATGTTTCATGGCATGTTTTTGAGCAGAGGTCATGTCTTAAGTTATCCAAAGGGAGACTTGCAAATGGTCCAATTATATATATGATAATATATATACAGTTTTATATATATAGTCAGTCTAAATACTGTGGTGAAGGAGTTTACTTTTGATTTTACTTTGAATGATACAAAGTGTTTTGGTTGTTTATTTAAACAACTCAAGACAGATCTTTTGCTAATGCACCTAATAATAACCTTGCACTTGCGTCTGAACTGGTGTGTCACAGAGGACGATGGGAAATAACACTGTCAGGTCATGGGCTGCAAACATACTCAGGGTCGCCTGCAAAAAAAAACCACAATAAGACATAGGATGTCATTGTACATATCGATCATTTTAACATTATCCAGGATGATAATATGTGAAGCACCATTTTCAGTCAATTGTACATTTTAGGTCAAACATATCAGGTAATTTACAGTATTATCCTGTGTTATGTGCTCATAGAGTCTTTGTTTGTACCAACCTCAATTACATAACTCAGGACAAGGATGCTGCAGTTAGAGATGGTCACTGGCATATCTGTAGGAATTGTCAGAAGCATCTCTGTGTAAACGTCTGTGCTGCCAGGGTTGACTGGATGTCCAATTACTGAAGCCATAGTCTTATTTATTAATCTTTTATTGGCTCTGTTGTGGGTGTAGTACTCCTGCTTCTGTAGCAGATTCAATTTAGGAGTAGCTGTTCGAGATGATCCGTTACTGAAGTTACAGAATACTTTAACAGTTTCACCTGAAAGTAGAAAATATATATAATGAGTATGAATTTGGCTGTTATTAACCCATTATCAAAATTCATAATGAATAGTATATTTAACTGCTAAATAAAACAGCTGTGGTTTTCAAAATATGGTTCATGTAACACTTGTGGTACTTGGGCTCCTTCTGTAGTTATGCAAAAAATATTCTGTTTTTTTTGTTTGTTTTTGTTTTCAGAATGGGCATTTGTTTCTTTTTGTACTGAGGTGACACCTGTAGAACTTGTTCACTATTGGCTAGTATATAAAACAATAATCTTATAAGGGGCACATGTACTGCCGCATTTAAATGTTAGCCATAGTGGTGGTACTTTGAAAGGCAAATACAGTGCCTATCATAAGTATTCACCCCCATGGATGTTTTACCCTTTTAGTGCTTTCATAAATCAATCACGGTCAATACAATTTGGCTTTTTTAACACACAAATTTATTGGAAAAAACTCTTTAATGTCAAAGTGAAAACAGATTTCTACAAATTAATGTCAATGAAAAAAAATATATAAAGAAATATAATTGTTTGCATAATTAATCACCCCCTTCCAGTCAGTATTTTGTAGATGCACCTTTGGATGCAATCACAGCAGTGAGTCTGTGTGGATAAGTCTCGATAAGTCTTGTACATCTGCCCACAGCAATTTTGCTCCATTCTTCCTTGCAAAACCGCTCAAGCTCTGTCAGGTTGCGTGGGTATCGGGCATGAACAGCCCTTTTTAAGTCCAGCCACAAATTCTCTATAGGATTGAGGTCTGGGCTTTGACTCGGCCACTCCAGAACATTTACCTGGTTCTTTTTTAACCATTCTTGTGTAGCTTTTGCAATATGCATATCATTGTCTTGCTGGAAAATAAATCTTCTCCCAAGCCGTAGTTCTCTTGCAGACTGAATAAGATTGTCCCCCAGGATTTCAGTGTACTTTGCAGCATTCATTCTGCCCTCTATCTTTACAAGCCTTCCAGGTCCGGCTGCTGAGAAACATCCCCACAGCATGATGCTACCACCACCATGCTTAACAGTGGGGATGGTGTGTTTTTGGTGATGTGCAGTGTTTGGTTTCCGCCAAACATGACGTCTTGTCTGATGGGCAAAAAGCTCGATTTTGGTCTCATCAGACCAAAGAATCTTCTTCCACTTGACCACGTGCTTTTTGGCAAACTGTAGTCGAGATCTAATATGACTTTTCTTCAACAGTGGCTTTCTCATTGCCACTCTCCCATAAAGCTTTGACCGGTGAAGAACCCGGGCAGCAGTTGCTATATGCACAGTCTCTCCCATCTCCGCAGCTGAAGCTTGTAACTCCTTCAGAGTAGTCGTAGGGGTCTTGGTTGCTTCTCTCACTAGTCTCCTACTTGCACGGTCACTTAGTTTACGAGGGCGGCCTGATCTAGGCAGATTCACACAAGTGCCATATTCCTTCCATTTCTTGATAATGGATTTCACTGAACTCCGGGGGATGTTCAATGCCTTGGAATTTTTTTTGTATCCCCCCCCTGAATTGTACTTCTCAATCACCCTTTCCCTGAGTTGCTTGGAGTGTTCTTCTGTCTTCATGGTGTAATTGTCACCAAGAATACTGATCCACCAGTCTGGACCATTCGGACACAGGTGTTTTATACCTCAATCACTTGAAGCACACCCACACCACTCAGGTGATCTTCATTTCACTAATTGTGAGACTATTGGCAAGAATTTGATGGACCTCTATTGAATTAGACCATTAACTTAAAAAGGGGGTGATTAATTATGTAAACAATTATATTTCTTTATATGTTTTTATTTCATTGACATTACTTTGTAGAAATTTGTTTTCACTTTGACATTAAAGAGTTTTTTCCAATAAATTCTTGTGTTAAAAAAGCCAAATTTTATTGACCATGATTGATTTATGACAGCACTAAAAGGGTAAAACATCCAAGGGGGTGAATACTTATGATAGGCACTGTATGTTTAGGGTGGCATACTTGTAAAAGATTGTGTACCAGTGAAATAATCAGCCTGAGACTTATCCCTATCCCCTTATGTTGTAAACATTTAGTGTGTGATCAATTATGCTTTTCATGATCACATATTATGCTATTTAGGCAATATTATGTCTAATTTTATTTCAAACTGTCCAATGTGGCAAATAAGGCTAAAGGGCTAAACTAATGAAATCAAATTGACTTGACTTGTTTCCTCTGAGTTGATGACATTAGGTCTAATGGATAGTTGGATGGTTAGAAAGACGGTACAGTACCGGGAACAAAGGCTTTCTTTTCTGTGTTGACTGCCATAGTGATAGGGGGTGAGGCACACCACAGGAAGCACAGTGTAGTCTGGTTAGAGCCTGAGAGAGGAGCCTGTAAAGGACAAAAGAAAAGAAAAGCAATAATAAATCTAGGCTCACCATACGTGTTTTGTGTTTGTTTAACATTTTGCCTTCTTGAGCAACACAGTTATGTTGTTTGGATGTATCAATTTAATCTGTGATAAAAGGCAGTGATAAACCCGTTACATTCTGACATCTAGTGGATCATGTGACAAGGCGGTTCAGAGAAAGCATTGATTTGGTGAAGCAATGAGTCATGGATCACTTACCCTCAGCTCTGGCTGGCTAGTGTCAATCTGGTTTACAAATTTCAACTTTGCCCCAAAGTCCTTTGACATGTGCCAGGGTCTGTTGATGCTCACGGTCAAGTCGTAACTTATAGTCCCACAGGGCCCTTGGAAAGGAGATGGAAAATCTCTGCAATGATGCAAAAAAGCTGTCGATACACATTTTGAAAAACTGTTCAACTCATATTTGATTTATTTTGTATTATATTAAGATGACACAGAGGGAAGCAGTCTTGATCCAGAAGTTTTGAATGAAAGTTAAGTATTATTTACACCACCCAGTAGGACGATTGTTGATTTTGTGTGTAGGAAGTACAACATGTTGTAGCTGTTAAATAAGTAATTGCATGGGTGTATGATGTGGAGGGTTTTTACTTGTCATCGTGTTTCTATTAATACTAACAACCAGCCCATTTTCACTGCCTTGCAATGGATTAAAAAAAAACCTCCGGGTCAATTTAAATATAGTGAATCTCCAAGTATGTATAATCACTGCAGCGGATACATACCCATGTGGGAGCTGACATGTGAACGGAAACAAGTGGGACCCAGGTGGAAGTTTGGTGGGCCCACCAACAGCTGTGAAGAAAAACACATGTTAAACCGATTCTTTTTATTGATTCGAATCTTTGACTCTCGAACAGTAAAATGAACGAGTCGTGAACGAAACTTGAACTAATCATTTCATTCGTTTTACAGCAGGTGGCGCTTTAGCCCTAATGTGGGCGTTGTAAAGAAGGCGCGGTTCTCCGACACTAAATGCAATCGGCATAATCTCCGGCATAAGCAATTAAAACCATGCGAAAAGCTAAGAAATAAAAACACACCACAATGTGAAGATAAATGAGAGCAAAAAAGACCCGAGCTCTCTGTCACGTGACAAATGAAACGAATCTGCGAGAACGAGGCGAAAGATTAGTTCACGGAGAATGATTCGTTCACAGCAAAAGATTAGTTCACAGTGAAATATTAGTTTGCAGAGTAATTAGATCGTAGTGAAAGATTAGTTCACGGCGAAAGATTAGTTCACAGAGAATGATTCGTTCACAGCAAAAGATTAGTTCACAGTGAAATATTAGTTTGCAGAGTAATTAGATCGTAGTGAAAGATTCGTTTTCAGAGAGTAATTCGTTCGTAGTGAAAGATTAGTTTACATTAGTTTGTGAGTGATTCGTGAGTGACTACCGAGTCATATTAAATATTTATTCATATTGAACTCACGAATCACTCAC